TGCTCCCCAGTACATTATCAGCAGCTCTGAACAGGTAGCAGAGACATGGAGCCCTCCATGTGTTAGTGACATTTTATATCAGTGCCTTTGGGGCAAAAGGAAAGTTCTCCATAGAAAAAGTCAAGTGATAATCCCTTTGAGCCTCAAAAATTGTGTGTAGTCTGCCCCCAGATGCCCCTTGTAGATTCCAAAAAGCAACCCTCTTTCAGCAACTCTGTGCATGCTGGTTCCTGGAGGAAAGCTGCTCACAGTGGAGGAGCGAAGCCTGAGCCCTCCACTCATGGCTGGAAAAGGGAGCAGGGGTTCCTGTAAATGAGGTTGCTAATTCTTAAAACTTCAAAATCCTAAATCTGGGTGATATAAAGGAAGAAAGAAAGCATCTCTGGGAATTCAGTTGTTTACAAACACTGAAAAGGCAGCTTTTCTTCTGCCAGGAGAGACTTAGACACTGCCTGCTGATTTATCACATGCTTAGAGCAACCACACTCAGTTGAAATGGAGTACAAAGAACAGCTTCCTGCACCCTTTTCCCTTCTTCCAAGCCACTGCCCACAATCTTCTTGTGAATTTACAGGAAGCAGGCTGTTTTACAGAAAATGAAGTAAATGAATGAGAGTCCCCTAAATTATTGAGAATTTTTTTTTAAGTTTTAGAGTTTTGCTACAACTATTTGGCCCCTACCCCTGTCCTGCAGCCCACTGGGAGCCTGGGGTGAGGTGTGTTTGACCATCAGTTATTGATAAGCAAGACATCCCACCAACTGATTCTCAGCTAACTGGCTTTTAGCAAATTGGTCATTTGGCAAAGTGGTCATTAGGCAAATGGGTCATTTGGTGAATAGGTCGTTTAGTAAATCGGCTTTCAACGACTTGCCCTATGAGATTTCTCTACAGTGAGCACTTTCTTGGGTTAAATGTATGTTTCGTTTCCATAATTAATATTCACTAGCGCCTGGATGGGAAACATCCCAGGGACCCAGGAGCAGCCTCTTGATAATCATATCATTTAAAACTGTCTGATTTTTTTTAACAGGAGCAAAGATGCAGAGAGCATCTGCTTTCCACAACACAGCGACTGCTCTCAGTGTTGTCACAGGAGTTCTTGCAGTTCTGTTTGTTGCTGGTGTGACATTCACAGTCATTAGTCGGAAAAAGTGAGTAGTCTAGAGGGTTGTTTGTGGTTAATCAGTGCACATTGCAACTATCCATTTCAATCACTTCCTGAGTGCCTCAGGAGTCCAGCACTTTGAGAACGGAGCAGCCTGGGCCAGCTTCATGGGCTTGCAACCTCGGCCGTTGTACTGGGCCCAGGGCTCAGATAAGTCCCCGGTTTGGTTTGATCTACAAAATCTTGAATTTTTTAACAAACACATTTTCATCTTACACTGAACCCCCAAAATTACGTTCTAGTTGCATTAAATTCCTAGCACTGCAATAACAAAGTACCACACACTGGATAGCTTAAAACAACAGAAATTTGTGGTCTCACAGAACTGCAAGCTAGAAGTCTGTAAGATCAAACTATCTGCAGGGCTACGAACCCTCTGAAATCTGTAGGGGGCGGAATCCTTTCTTCCTCTAGCTTCTGGTGTTTGCCAGCAATCCTTGGCATTCCTCGACTTGTAGACATAATCTCTACCTCCACTGTCACACAGCCGACTTCTCCCTGTGTCTCCATTTTCACATGATGTTCTCTCCTCTTATAAGGACACCAGTCATGGGATTTAGGGCCCCCTGTAATCCAGCCTGACCTCTGCCTAACTTAATTATATCTGCAGAGACCCTATTTCCAAAGAAGGTCACATTCCTAAGTGCCAGGTGTCAAGACTTCCAACATCTCCTTTTGGGGGACATAATTCAACCCATAACACTGGCCCTGCCACCAACCAAAGCATTATATGGCCCTGGTATACCTCTTTCTACTTCTTCATAGTTATATCATGAGACTGAGCCTCCTTATCCCTTATTACACCCAATCCTGACCATTCTTCTACTTTCACAGAGCTCCTGTCTCAACAGCACAAGGGCCTCCTGAACACTATAAACTGCCCAAGGAAAGTCAGAACTTTACTTAATTTTATCTCCATTACAAAGCCCATGTTTAGCATAATTTATATTTAAACTACAAAATTTTCCTGTAAGTTGAAACATGACCTATAAAGGTCTCTACACCCCGAAGCAACATTTTAGAAAGAAATCAATTGGTCCTTTTCTA